ACTAGAATTGAATTACCGGAATTACTTGTAAATTATTACAAAATTACATTAAATATTTTAGAAGTATCGTAATTAATTTGGAATTACAGAAACTATTTTTATATTACGAAAAATTAAGTTGGAATTACAGCAACTATGTTGGAATTAAGTTGTAATTACAAGAATTAATTTAGAATTATAGGAATTGATCCCAAAAAAATTTAATTACGATGGATTAATAGAATTATTGAAATTGAATTTTGGTGGAATTTTTTGCATTACTTATCGGAATTATTTGTAAATTACTGGAAGTTTTTTTTTAAATTACTAAATTTTTTTTTGAATTACTGGAATTCTTTTTGGAATTATCAAAGATACAAGAATTCTTGTTGGAGTTATCATCGATAATTTATTCTTTTGAAAATCACATGAAATTTCTTAAAACCATCGGAATTAATTTTAAATTGCAGGAATTATTTTGGAATTACGATTTGTAAGTTGGAATTACAGGAATTAATTGGGAATTATAAGAATTAATCTAAAAACAATAAAAAATTTTCCTTTTTCGTTGCATTTTCTACCTTATTTTAACATTTTTTTTTATATTGTGAGGTTAGGAAAGTAGAAATATTTACGATCAAAATACAATAATACTTCCAACTTAAATTAATAACTCAGGCAAGTAATTAATTATCATTGATATAATAAATTAACACGTCCATTAAGTGAGGTTATATTCCTCACCGTTGTGTTTCTGTGTAACAAATGTGCTAGTAGTAAAAAAAGTATTATATAAAACACGGTGAAGATTCTTACAGCCTTGCAATTGTTAATGCCCTCGCTGCTGCGCAGCTCGGCTATAAAATCTCCCCTCTACCTTGTGATATACTATTGGCACAGTTTGAAGGCCGCTCCAGGCAAATGAATTAATTTCTTCCCATTTTGAAACGGTAAACTCCCTAATAATTTTTAATTCGTCTTGGTGTCGCGATAAAAATCGTAAATTTGTGGCTTTGCCTTTTAATTGTGCAAGAATAAAATGACTTGAATTAATTCAAACAGCGGCGAGATTTATGATTCCATTAATTTATGACACGAGTACATGCGTTGGGCACCTGTTTCGGAAAGTATTTGGGTTTGATCGGTTTCCTAACACGTTGAAAAATTGGAGAAACGACTGTGAAGTATTGATTTCGTGGTAGAAATCTTCGAGATGATGATTTTTTAAATCTCTATTTGTGAATCGTTTCTCTAAACGAGAGAAAGCGATAAATAACACTGCTGAAAATCAAATTATGGTCAGGTTGCATTTGAACGGACTTTCACGAAACGTGTAAAAATTTTCTTCTTCATTTTTGTAATTATTCCAAATTTGATTTGAAATCTTAAAATTTTAAATCTCGAAATTTCATTATTTGTTGTTGTTTACGTCAGTAAAAGATATAAAATATATCATGTTTAACTGTCCTTTTTAAATCCTCTCTTTCTGTTTTTCACAAATTAATAGTGAGTTATTGAGAACTTAGAAATAAAGTAACTAGAAAAAAAAACAAACAAAATAGAAAATCTTAAAAAATAGAAACAGAAAATCAAAATTACGTAAGTCATTAGCAAAATCTTTTTGTACTTAGAATTTCAAAAAAAGTAATCTGAGAATCTTGAAACAAATTCAAAAAAAATTGTTCACTGCATAATTTCAATAATACTTTAGTTCTTAAGTGAGTTAGTGAGAATTTAAAAAATAATAAGACTTTGAAGTTTGTAAAATATTTTAAAATTAAGACCTTGAAACAATTAAAATCTTAGTACTGTTTAACTACCTAAAAATGTTAACAGTCTTTTTCAAGATCTAAAGTTTTCGCTTTCGAAAATCTTAAGAATTAAGATCTTGAAACATAAACATCTTGATCATTACCGAAGCTTTAAATGTTTGATAGCTTATCAAAATCTTAGCTTTAAACACTTAAAGTGAATACATGAATCTTGAAAATCAAGATTTTTAAACAAAAAATCAGAAATTAAAACAAATTTTAAACTGCATAATTGCAATGCAAGTGTCAACAATCTTTAAAAAAAACTTTAAAATTGAGATCTTGAAACAGGAAGGTAAACCTTGTCGTATAATTTTGAAATCTTGGGAGATGACACTTGGAAATCTTAAAAATTGAGATCTTGAAACATAAAATCAAAATTTCTTAAATCGTTAGCGAAGGCTAAATGTCAACATTCTTGATATTTTATCAAAATCTTAGCTTTAAAAACTTAAATTGAATACATGAATCTTGAAAATCGAGATTTTGAGACAAAAATCAGAAATTAAAACATTTTAGACTGCATAATCGCAATGTTTTAGTTAAGATCTTAACTAAATAAAACTTTGAAGTGTCAAAAATCTTAAAAAAAACTTTAAAATTGAGATCTTAAAACAAGAAATTAAAGCTTGTCGTAAAATTTTGAAATCTGGGTACAGCACCTAAATTTTTAGGAGTCTTTTTCAAGATCTGGAGTTAAACGCTTTAGCGAATTTTTGAGAGTTAAAGAGACTTGAAAATCTTAAGAATTGAGATCTTGAAACATAAAATCAAAATTTTTTAAATCGTTAGCGAATTCTAAATGTTTCAACATTCTTGATATTTTATCAAAATCTTAGCTTTAAAAACTTAAATTGAGTACATGAATCTTGAAAATCAAGATTTTGAAACAAAAAATCAGAAATTAAAACAAATTTTAAACTGCATAATTGCAATGCTTTAGTTAAGATCTTAACAAAATAAAACTTTGAAGTGATAAAAATCTTAAAAAAACTTTAAAATTGAGATCTTGAAACAAGAAGTTAAAACTTGGCGTAAAATTTTGAAATCTTGGTACAACATTTTAAACTTAAACTACCTAAAGTTTTGAGGAGTCTTTTTCAAGATCTGTAGTTAAACGCTTTAGCGAATTTTTGAGAGTTAAAGAGACTTGAAAATCTTAAGAATTCAGATCTTGAAACATAAAATCAAAATTATTTAAATCGTTAGCGAAAGTCTTAAATGTTTCAACACTCTTGATAGTTTATCAAAATCTTAGTTTTAAAAACTTAAATTGAATACATGAATCTTGAAATCAAGATTTTGAAACAAAAAATCAGAAATTAAAACAAATTTTAAACTGCATAATTGCAATGTTTTAGTTAAGATCTTAACAAAATAAAACTTTCAAGTGTCAAAAATCTTTAAAATTAAGATCTTGAAACAAGAAGTTAAAGCTTGTCGTAAAAGCATAAAAGTTTTGAGGAGTCTTTTTCAAAATCTGGAGTTAAAACAGTTAAAAAGACTTGAAAATCATAAGAATTGAGATCTTGAAACATAAAATCAAAATTACTTAAATCGTTAGCGAAGGCTTTAAAAACACTCTTGATAGCTTAGCAAAATCTTAGCTTTAAAAACTTAAATTGAATACTTAGAAAAAAAGCAATCGGAGTATCTTTAAAATTAAGATCTTGAAACAGAAAATCAGAAATTAAAAAAATTGTACACTGCATATTTTTAATACTTTAGTTCTTTAGTAAATTGGTAAGAATTTAACTAAATAAGATTTTAAAGTGTTAAGAAAAGTGAGATATTGAAAAAATCTTGAATCCTTAATACAGCTGTTTAAAATTGTTAGCAATCTTTTAGCTCTTGTTGAGATAAAATTTCAGCTTTAAAAACGTAAAAATACAAATCTTGAAACAAAAAGCCAGAAATTTACCGTTTTTTTCATGAGTAGTTCATAAAAATACTGGTATCAAAAGAATAAAGATTTTTGTAGATAAAATGTTAGAATTTGAAATCTTGAAAGAAAAAAATCAAAAATTTCAGGACAT